GAAAATTATTTTTTCAACAGAAATAAATAGAGTCAAATTGCAAAAATGAAACTCTCGTAACTTCGAAATTTTTATAGATAGAATTTTTTTAAATTTTTTCCATATTCCTGGTAAAGATAACAGGAATATGGAAAAAATGTTAAGAACCATGTAAGAACCTTACATGCCATTTTTCTCTGGGACGCGAGTTCTGGCGCACCCTGTATAAAACAATATTATTGTTTAAAACTGTCATTAAAAGTGATTAATAACTAATAATCATTGGCATTTGACAATGAATTTTTAATAAACACCAACTCAAAAATTTGACCTCTGATTGGGACGACATTTTCGTATTTTTCAAATAAAAATTATATAAATATAAACAGGTAAGTAAACGCAATAAAGTATGTACATAAAATTAATAGGTACTTTATTTCCAATGTTGCCAACTTAATTTCAAAGTCAAAGAACAATCTGACCAGAAATTTTTGAACTCGATTTCATAAAAAAACATTTTAGTAAAGTTTTTTCAGTAAAATTTATTCTCCGGTCAGGAAGATTTTTTTGAATAATGTTAATACAGGGTGTTAGAACTTGCGTCCAAGCGAAAAATTTCAAGTAAGATAAGATACCAGATCATGGAAAAATGTTTAAAAAATTGTATTTATCAAAAAATTTTGATATTTATTTTTTGCTATTTGACGTTTTTTTTTGTTTATTTAATGATACTGATGATTTTGTATATGTTTTTTATAATTATCTAGTAAAAGTACAAAAATTTTGCCAATAAAAGCCACAAATAACATTAATCATTAATTTAGGATACAGCTTCCTTGTTTCTTCTTCTAATAGCCTGTAGCAAAAAAATTGCAAAATTATTTTGAAACAGAATAAAATAGAGTCAAAGTGCAAAATTTAAACTCTCATAACTTTGAAATTTTTATAGATAGAATTTTTTAACATTTTTTCCATGTTCCTTGTACCTCACAGTTGTTGTCACGTGTCACAAATTTTAACCTTGAAGTTTCAAACTACAACAAACATAAATTTGGCATTTTTTTATTAAATAGGTCATTTCATCTTTTTATTACAAAAAATTTTTCTTGTGATAAAAGCTAAAACAAAACATTTTGTAACAAAGAATCCAAAACAATGGGTTTTCCCTCTTATGAAAAAGGTCACTTATAAGTCTGCGGGCGAGATCCCGTATCTTATTTCTTATAAAAATAGAATAATTGCGACGGAAGGAAAAACAATAAAGGGCGATTATGACTTGATCAAAGAAAATACACAACTGTGAATAGAGACATTTTGCATGTTTATCTTGTAAACTCGGAATTAGTTTCCAACTATTCCTCCGTAACATCGAAAATCAACAACATTTCATCGAAGCAAAAAGGCAAACATGATCTCAAGTAAGGTAATACTTTCACTTGTGATTAATTTACGAAAATCATGTTTTACCCGTTTGGACAATAAAATAATTTCGTATTATTAATCACGTAACCGGTGACGTAACAAAACCTCGTTTTGGTGATTGAGATATAACGGGCGCAAATATTTTTTCTTAATTTTTACGAAAATATTTGCATTTAATCTCTTGTGCAATAACCGTTTTCGAACATCCATCGATGATTTATTCGCCAAACTGGGCAAATATTTACATGTAAATGTTGTTGCAGGGATGCCTCCCGGAAATAAAAATAAAACCCCAAGTTTCGAACGCTTTGTAGACGCTCTTATCTATTCATAATGATAACGGGAGGTTTAATTTGTAAGTCGTTCACAAATACAAAACTCGAATCAACACTTAATTAAAAGATTTACTATGAGGAGCAAACACCTCAGACTTGAAAGTCTTTCTCTATGCAAATTTGAATTTTATCAGGAGGCCAATTTTTCAAGCTGTCTGATTATGGAGATTGAGGATATCTAGGGTAACGTATTAGGGGGTCTCAAGGTGGCCATTCGACAAATATTTGAACAAAATCAAGGAAATTTATAATAAATACAGTGGATTTTCTTTTACATCAGAGATTTCAGGTTTTATTCGAGGAGATAATGATTTTTTAATGTCGAGCGTCACAGCATTTATTTTTGTACTCTTTTCCAGCATAAAAAACGACTTTTCAGCATTTGTAGGCGTTTAACGGCCCTGAAAATGCCGTAAAATTCGACCGATCATTGGATAAATGGTCGCTTTTATTCCAGTTTTTATTTAAAATTAAATCTTTTGACGAAAATATTTCAGAATTAAAATTATTTTTATTAAAAAAAAAAAACAATACATTTTGAATTCTGTTACAAATATACATACAGGTGCGCCAGAACTCGCGCCCCAGACAAAAATGCCATGTAAGGTAAGATACCAGGAACATGGAAAAAATGTCAAAAAAATCTATCTATAAAAATTTCGAAGTTATAAGAGTCTAAATTTTGCACGTTGACTGTTTATTAATAATTTTTTTTTGCAACATGCTATTAGAAGAGGAAGCTGTATCCTAAATTGTAACTCTGTTTGATGTTATTTGTGGCTTTTATTGGCAAAATCTTTGTTCCTTTACTAAATATTTATAAAAAAAAAACATATGCAAGATCATCGGTATCATAAAACAGACAGAAAAAAATGTCAAATGTCAAATAATAAATGTCAAAATTTTTTGACAGATAGAATTTTTTTAAAACTTTTTTCCACGTTTCGGGTATCTTATCTTACTTACCCTCTGTATAGTTATTTTACTTCGTGGCTGTAACCAATATTTCAATATTGCCAACTTAATTTTAATGTCACATGCCATTTTAAAGTTGGAAATTTAATTTTTTCTAGACTTTTGTTTCAAATATTTTGTTTATTGAAGAACAAAGAAAACTGTCACTTTTAAAAACATTGTTTTATTATATAAATTATATTGTATAATTATACAGGGTGGTTTTGTTTTTACAAGCTAAAATTTAGATACAGTTACAACACGGAAAAATAATGTAGGTTTGTCCTATGAACAATTGTTTAAAAACCCTTCATGACTAGAGATAAATGATACTAAAACGAGGTATTTTCAAAAACATGAATGTTTTTGCATCGCAGTTTACAAATACGTATTTTATTACAAACAAAAATAGGAACATAAAACCCTATTTTTCCTAACGGAAATTATAAATGAGACAATAAGACAAGAATCTCTAAAACCATATAACCTATTAGAAAAAAAATAAGAAAATAAAAAAAAATTAAGAAAACTAAAGCTTTAAATTTCGTAGTTGGTGAAAGTGTCAAGAATATTCTTAAGCTTTTTTGAATACTAGGATAAAATTAGCATTCATTTGATAGCAATTAATCATAATAACTTTATTTGACTTGACTTTATTTATCCTTTACATTAGATAATAATAAAGTTATAATACAAAACAAGTAACATATAAACATAATTAAAGAAGACTAAAACGACTAACCCAAAGAAACATTCAGAAACGCTTGAAGCTATCTAAGGATTTAAAATTAA